TATATATATATATATATATATACATATATATATGTATATATATATATATATATATAGAGAGAGAGAGAGAGAGAGAGAGAGAGAGAGAGAGAGAGAGAAAGTTACATTAATGAACTGGCTCATGGGCCTGTGGGGCCTAGCAAGTCTGAAATCTGCAGGACAGACCAGCAGGTGGGAAATTCAGGCACAAGCTGCGGTTGTAGTTTTGAGTTAGAAGGCTGTCTGCAAGCAGAATTCCTTCTTCCTTGGGGGATCCTAGTCTTTTCTCTTAAGGCCTTGAACTGATTGGATGAGGCCCGCCACATTCTGGAGGGTGATCTGCTTACAGTCCAGCAATTTAAATGTTAATCTCATTTTAAAACCTTCACAGCAACATGTAGACTGGTGTTTGATCAAAGATCTGGGCACCACAGCCTGGTCAAGGTGACATACAACTTTCACTACCACATTAAGTCAGCACCTGGGGACTTGGTACGAAGAGTCAGGACACCAGGCTCGAACCCACCTCTGACAGTTGTCAGCCTTATGATCCTGGACAGATCCCCTGTGCAAGTCCCTCAGCCTTCTGAGTCGTGTGTGCACGCACATGCGCGCGTGTGTATTACTGAGAGCATTGAATGAGCTCATGTCTGTGAACTCATCGTGAAACAGAAAGTATTACAGTCTTATCACTTCTCACTCTAATGGGAGTGAGTTTATCAGGTACTTTCCTGTCTATATGTCCGACATATAATCTTCCCAAGCCCCTATAGGGGATGGCACTATTGATTTGCCATCAATAGCATGGGCATTTCACATCTTCAATCAGCAGAAATCAGTGTGGATTCACCTCTGAAACACACTTAATAAACACTTATTGCCTGAAAAGGCAGCCGTTCCCTACACATATCACACAAACTTTTGGTGTCCTACTCAGCTCTCCAAGAACCCAGGAAAGAAGGAAGAAAGCATCTCAACAGACTGGCCAGCTGGATGACAGAGAGGACCTTGGATGCCCTCCAGCCCCGCAGTCTTACTTCACAAAGCAGGCAACTGAGGCTCTGAGAGGTACCTGACCACCAAGCCTGGTGGCTGAGCTCTAGCTGACCCACGACCAGCATCTGGCCTTCCATCAAGCGTGACATCTACTATCACTACTTGGGACAAAAGTCGCTGTGAAGGCATACCCCTCCTCCACTCTGTCACACCTTTTCCAAAGTAGACACCAGATGGATCAGAGATTTAAATGCAAAATGATTTGCACGTAAAAAAAATGAAACCATAAAAATGCAGAAGTAAGTATGGTGGCATTTCAAAAATAATTTTGAGGTACGAAGGACTTCTATAAACATGACAGAAAGCCCCAGTAGCCATAAAAAATAAATAATAAAGTAAACCATGTACAGAAGAAAAAATCCTGCATGGAGAAAAGGCATGGTAAACAAAGTTGAAAGAAAATAATAAACTAGGAAGAAATATTTGCAACCCACAGCACCGACAAGGAGACAATTTCTTTAATATGTAAAGAGCTCTTATAAGTAGCTTTTTAAAAATGATCTACACCCCAATACAAATAGACAATTCACAGAAAGGTAACTGAAAAAGAAATACAGATGTACCCAAAGATGTTAATCCTCAATCATAGCAAGAGAAATGCACGGTATAAGTACAATGAGGCACTTTTTCACCTCGCAGGCTGGCAAGTGTCAAAGCTAGAAATAGATTGTGTTGGTGGGCGTGGGGGGAGACAGGGTATCCACACATCTTGGGGGAAGTGCAAACCGATCAGCCTCCAAGGAGGACAAATCCCTTGTTCATTGAAGTTAGTAGGGCACACATACTTTGTTCCAGCAATTCCATAGCTAAGCACCCGCCCTTCAAAGGACATGTGCACGTGCATTCCAGCCCTGGAAGCCGCCTACATTTTCATCAGCAGGGACTGCCGCCGTAGATATAATGTGGTAAATAAATAGGAACAACAAGTTATGTAACGTCCATATGCTGGCATGCTCTGCGGCCATTGCCAGGGACGAAGCAGCTCTCTGTAAACTGATACAGACCATATTATTCACGACACGTCGTGAGCTGGCAGCAGAGTCCAGGGAGTGGCGGCAGCAGGCCCCCACCTGCTGGGGAGGATGGCTGCGTGTTTGTCACTTCCCCTAGTCCCGCCTCACCTCTTCTCTCTCCTCAAACCTCCCACTTGCTTCCTCCCATGAGCTGGTAACACTGCTCCCTATGCCTGAGGACGAAAGAGCCTCCCAGCTCCCTGCCTGGTCTCCCAGGCCTGCGACTGGGTCCGCTGCCGTCCTGTGGGTGGACTGTCCACTGCCATCTAAGGCGGCCGCTGTTGGTACCGCTCATCTCTCTGGCCCAGGCCGGCATTTTGCTCCTGCAGGATCTCCTCTTGGGATCGTGTCATCAGCACACAAACAAGCTGGAATATCTCTCATCTTAAAAAAAAAAAAGAAAAGCTGTCTCTCAATGTTGCTCTCTGCCCGTCTCTGCTCCCCTGCGTAGCAGACCCCCTGGGAAGAGTCGTCCACAATCTACCATGCCCTTGTCCTGCGCTCCTGCAAGCCCACCCCCGGGCTGTCACTCTCACGCTCCTCTGCTTGTGTCCAGCTTCCCAGCGCCACCCCATCGCTGACCCCATGGTCAACCCTGAGTCCTCTTCCAGCCACCGCTCCTTCCTTCCTGAGACCCTTCCTTCCTGAGACCCTTCCTTCTCTGGCTCTCTGGATGCCACCTTCTCTTGATTCTTATGACTCACCGGCTGCTCTTCTTGTCCCCTTTGCTGGCTCCTCCTCATCCTCATCCTCTAACTGCTGGGGGGCTGCAGGGTCAGTCCTGACCTCCTCTCTTTGCTATCTACACTGTCCCCCTGGATAATATCTTTAAGTGCCACCCCTTGGTCGATGACGTCTAAACATACGTCTCCAGCCATTCTTCTTTGCTTGGGGGTCCCGTAAGCATCTCCAATCTACTGTATCCGAAAGCAGACCCTGCATTTCCCCAGCCCCTCCCTCGGTCCTCGCGTCCCACGCAGTAGGATCATGCCGGTTGCTCTGGCCAAAATCTTCAGAGCCAGATGCCACTCATCTTTTTCTCCCAGAGCCCACATCCAACCTATCAGCAAATTCTGGGATTCTGTCCTCAAAATGTGTCCAGAAACAACCACCGCTCGCCACTCTGCCTCTGCCATCCTGGTCTGGTCTGAGCCTCTGTCACTCTTGCTTGGATGACAGCAACAGCGTCCTCATGATGCTCCTCGGTCCTTCCCGTTAGCCTGTACAACCTGCTGTCTACACAGTGGCCAGGCTGACCCTTTAACAACTTAAATCGGATCAAGTCATTCTTCTAGTGACGTTCCCCAACGTTGTCTCGTCTCAGATCAAAGCCGAAGCCCTTACCTTCCGAACTGCACCGCCCTGCTGACCCACGTCCTCCACTCTCCCTCGCACCCAACCCCAGACATCCAAAGCCCACCCCGACCTCTCCTAGAATCCTCTCCCCCCAGCCACCCACACGGCTCACTCCGTCAGGCCCTTCAGATTTCTGCTCATGTGTCCAGGAGACTCTAGAGCCGTGGCCAGGGCTGCCGGGCAGAAGCTGGGTCTGGCTAGGGGGGCAGGAGTCACAGAGGAAGGAGTGGCTGCCAATGATGCTGCTGCCCGGGGCACGACAAGAGCAGAAGAAATGTCCTTCCCCACCCCACACTCTCTTCTTCCTCACTGTCCCTCCGTGTCTTGTTGGCCAAACCTGGCCAGACACCAGTCAGCAAAAGATCCTGGGATGTAGTTCCCAGCAGTACAGAGCAGGGAGGGACAGGGAATAGATCTAAGGGCAGAGGCCACGGCCATACAAAAATATACCCCCATGCAAATGACAGGCCTCCACATGTGCTGACTCGTCAGCCTCTAACGAGGGAGGGGTCAGGTGACGCGATTCTCTAACCTGCGCAGCTAAAGAACAGACTTGGGACCGACGGTCCTGGGGAGGTGGAGACTGTCCTTGATGCTCCGTGAGAAACTGCTGTTCTCCTGCAACCTAATCACAAGAGTCACAGACAAATTTGCCAGCCTCAGTGTTGACCACAGGGAGCACAGGGGTCTTTGGCACATGCTCTGCATTGACAGTGAGCCCCACACCCAACCCTCCCTGCACACAAATATCTTGGTCACCCAAAGAAACTCCTGCATCCATCCTCATAAGATGTTGGGAACCCTTTGCATTCCGGTGAATGAGCTCTTCAATGACAGGGAAATGTCCTCTTACGCAAGTCAAAGAACGATGAACTTTGTCATTGTGCTGTATTTTTTGACCGAGAGGGTGAAAAGCTACAATGAGTAGGGACAGAAGAAAATGAGGCAAGGCCTTTTTCACATGGTGCAATCGGGAGTGTGTGTTGCGACGCTCTGAAAGAACCTTATGCAAGCCCACGGTACCGAGTCCTACTTGGAAAGTTTCTCGCTCCCTGTTCTCTCCCCAAGACCTCATGCAATTCTTAGGAGTTATGTTTAGGAACATCTTACAAAATACCTTTTGATCCACATGGCATAAGCAGAGTTGTCAAAAACCACTGTGTCCTTGAGAACAGCCCTGACTGCCCAGAGTCCTCAAACTCAGCATCTCGGTGGGCTTAGGGCACAGAATGTGCATTTATTGATTATGGTATGAAGTGCTGAGGTGCAAGGGCAGAGACAGACCCTGGCAGGGATGTGCATGGGTTTAACTGGCAGTTTGGTTGGGCCCTTCTGGAAGGGACACAGCTTCCTCAGAGAACCAGGATGATGCTGTGCCTCTCCAACATGCCCAAGCCTGTACACACCTGAAAATCTGGGTCACAAGCTGGCACTCTGCTCTCCAAACACTGCTAATCCCAAGGGCATAGCATGTAAATGCATTTTTCTCTGGAGTCTTGTTGAAAAGTCACAGCTGGCATTCTAGAGGCCAGATCCGGGTACCAGCCGCAAGTCATGAGACTGGGTGCCGTCTGTGGTGCTGGCAAACCAGAGCTGCGGGCAGACCCCCACGTGAGTTGTGGTCCAATGTGCACTGCGGTATAGGACCTCTGAGGCCAGTGTAATTACCAAAGTAATCTTATTTGCTTGGGAAGTTATTACAATTAATTTGCGTTATTTAATCATGTACCGATAGACAGGTGAGAGAGAAGTCAGAAATCAGCCATGAGCCATATTCAGGGAATAGCGGTATTCAAAATTTCCCAGGGTTAATCAGTATGCTTATTGCATGTTCAAAGCTCATAACTAAGTGTAGAACCAACACACACAGATCTTTAGTCAAATTCTGCAATTTAGGGAGTCCAAACCATCCACACCGACGGGAGGCAATGGCAGAGCACTACGACAAAAGCCACATGGGACACTCTGTAAAACAATTAAGAAGGCATTGTCGGCAGAACTGAAGACTTTATCCCCAGCTAGTGCTGTTTACATGGCAGCTACTCTTAGCCAGGAAGGAAGCATGATTGCTGGGATTACCTACTCTTTATTTAGCAAACAGACACCTCCCCACCGCACAGTGCTGTGTGGTCACACCCACCCTGCTTGCTGAGTCTGTCATTCTGTAGAGCTGCTGAGTGTGAGTTTAGGCACAGAGCTGATCAAGACACTAGGCCATTCTCTAGAGAGGAGACATGCACAGCAAATCTGTCACTTGGGAGAACATTGCTACAGAGTTCACCTTTACATTAATCCAAAGTACTTGTTGGATTTCATGATCAGGACTGCCTTGTGGTTGACTGGCACTGTGGATGAAGAGCAACCCGAAACACAGATAAAAGAGGTGGCCAGCTCGGGTGCTCCAGAAAATCAAAACGGACCCAACAAGGAGCAGTCAGGAGCTGTGCCGTCCTGCTGGTCCTGGGCCCCTGCCTCCACCTCTCCCTGTGCATCAATACTAATAACTCCATTTGTACCAGGGCGCACAAGCTGTCACAAGGTTACACAATCGGTGCCCAAGCTTAAAGGAAAATAAAACTGGAACGTGACTCTCCACCCTGGTTTTCATGATTAGATAACCTCCCTCAGCTTGGTTGATATCCAGTGAGTTACCAAAGCATTTATAGAGCCCTGAGTCCAACGTTGTTCGTTAGTTTTTCTAAGAGTCGCTTTTTGCAGAGAATTGTATGGGGCTGGGACTCAAGTCATGCTGCTGAAGCATGCGAGGTGGTTCCCTCTGCAGCCCACGTACCTGGCCAAACTCTCTCATCCTTCCATCTATCAGAAGGACAGGAGCAGACTCGGTGAATGAGTCACTGGCCTTGGCTGCAAACTTTAAGTTGGGGGGGCGGGGCAAAACCCCAGTCATCAAGATTAATAATATTTAGTGCAATAGTTTTCTAAAAATCAAAAATTTCACATCAAGACAGGTTCAGTAATGGTACTGAGCTGGGCAATACTGGAGCCTGAGGCAAAAGGTAAAGTCAGTAATACTGCCTTTATTTAAAATTTTTTAAAAAAATTAAAAATTTTGTTCAGCACAGATTTTATTGCATTAATTTTAAGAAGGAGGTCAGAGGTAGGGCATTCAGAAACAGTGGTTGTCAGGGGCCATCATATGGACGACATCGCGTGGGCATGCCACATTTAGCTACTGGCTAAGATAACCATGCAAACCAAGGTGGAGGGGAAGATGGGGTTTCCAGAAAGTTCTCCAAAGACAATTACTGTGTCCCCTCCATTCTAAAGATCCACTGATCAGAAGATGTATGATCAATTTATTAATATCTTTTCAGAAGAAAAAAATGGCTGATAAGCTTCTTCTGACATCCTCTATAAGAAACACCCGGATTTCAGAATTAACATATGGCACCAAAAAAGAAAAAGGCTCTTAAACTGCAGGCAATACAGTAAAATGTTTTAATTTAGGATTCTGAGGCACTAAAGCCTGCACTCCAACAAAATAAATTAAGTTATTCACAAATGATTGTACATATTTACACAAGTCAATTGACAAAAGCACACATTATAACAATTGCTAAAAACTGCCGCATAAAGAAAACACTTAGCGTGAGGAGTATCACTGTGGCTTTCTCCTTCTGAACCCTTCCCAGCCCAGGGCACCTCGCAGGGGCTCCTCCCAGACTCACCTACCCATAGGCTTGCTCCCATCTGAGCAATCCGTGCTTCCTTTCAAAACCAGTTCTCATCAAATGGAGTGATTTATGCAACCGAGGAAATTGTCATTGTGACAGAGATTAAACTTTTAAGCTAAGAGGTGACACAAATGACAACTGGGGAGTAATTTTTAGCGGGTGAGGGTGGGCTCCCTTGGTCCTTTAAACTACATCAGACAGGCTAAAGGCCTACTCTTTTCTGTTTTGAGCATTTAAGGAATAATACAGCTTTGCTGAGTCTCTTTTCCTTTAGCAAGGTGCCAGCTGGGAAAAGGCCTAGAAACGCCACACCTGGGGGGCGGGATGGCTACTTGCTTGTTGAAGCCAGACAGGGTCCTCAGGAGCATCTGGGTCCCTGTCAGGCGGGTGGGGGACGTGGGGATCTTCCAGTCTGGCTTCATTCTGGATTGGAGAGCAGGGAAGCAAAAAAAGGGGGGGGGGGGGAGAAAGAATATAAACCCACCCAAAGCCACCCACCCCAATGACCCAAAGACCCACCCAGGCTGTGCGGATTTTACACACTTGGCTGGAACTTGGGTTGGAAAAGGAAAAGGGAAAGACGCAGGAACAAGGCTGCTTCTCCCCGCGTGAGGGTTCGCCCTTTCCCGAGGGGGTGTCCCCTGAAGTGGGCTAACACGCCCCCTCCAGGGACCCCTGCGGAGGCCTGCACCTGCAGGGGACTTAAGGTCATCGTCTCAGCAGCCCCCGTGGTGTCCCCAGAGCGGCCCCTGTCGCGTTCTTTCTCCAGGTGGTCTCCCTGCGTTACCGGGAGCAGCTGAGCTGACGTCCGCGTTCAGGAAGCTCCCGTGACTTTGGGGTCCTCAGAAACTACCTCAGGAGGGAAGCGACCCCCGACCCAGCCCTCACCCTGAGGAGGCGAGTCCACGCCATCCTGGGGCGCACCTGGGGGGGACACACCGTCCCCACCCCCAAGAGCCCCTCACGGGCCCTCGGCAACGGGCGGTGCCCTATCGCCAACCCGCGGCCCTCAAGGACCATGACAGCACGCGGAGCCCTCTCCCGGGTTTCCGGACCCTCTCCCCGCCCACTTTTTCCGCAGTCCGGGGACCCCCGCGTTTCCCGCGGCGCGGGACACGCACTCACCGCGGATCCACTGCGCAGCCCTTCAGGAGCAGGGTGGGGCGGGGATGACAAGGCCGCGCTGTCCCAGGGACGCAGGCCTCTGTGCGCACTGGGGTCCGCAGCCCGCCGCCCCCGAACCCGGAGGTGCCCGGCGCTGCCGCGTCTGCGGCGGGGACACGGGCGTGTTTCAGGGGATCGGGCATAAACAGGGACACTGGGAGATGACACCGATCAGAAATCAGCTCCGAGCGAGTCTCCAGCCGCCTCCGCCGCAGGGGACCGGGCGCGGCGACCCGGGGGGCGGCGTTGG